CAGCCAAAGGAGCTCCTGTGCAGCCATAGCTCCAGTGTAGATCTCGGCCTCACAAATGGAACTAAGTACAGAAGACGAGCGAGTGGACCTCCACGAGACAGAACCAATGCCGAGGCTGAAACTCTAACCCTGTGATTTGTCTGGTCGTCAGCCCAAAAAGCCTCTGAGCGGTCGGTGAGAACAACTGAACCCTGTCCTCCAAGCACAAGCCCCATGCCCGATGTAGCACAAGTAGCGCATCACCCTCTTCGCAGCATCCCATTGCACCTTTGGTGTCTACCGGGAGCCACGTAGTGAGCTAGGAGGCTGAGAGGGTACGCGAGGTCAGTCGTGTGTATGTCATCAGGTACATGAGGCAACCCACAAGCTTTGGGTACAGACCACTCGCCTCTACGGACTTGTCCGAAGGTGGAGCTGAGAGTGAGTGGCTTTTAAACAGAGGAGTGGACTGTGGCGAGGACCACGTGAAGTCAAAGCACTGAAGGACCTGCTGCACCATGTGTAACTGAGTGAGGGTAATGGTGCGCCGTGCTATGTCCCGGGTGATTTGCAAGCCAAGATAGCTCCACAGCTCACCCAGGTCAATGCATGTGTATCTCTCCTGCTGCTCTGCCTTCACTAAGGCCTGCGCCTCAGTGTCAGCAGTTGTCGACATACACGAGAACGTAGAACGGCGGCAGAGAAGTGTTTGTACACAGAAACAACGAAGAGTCAGCAATCGAGGGAGCGAAACCAAGAGCCGCAAGTTTAGTCCTCAATGTGTCGTGCCACTCACAGGGCGCCTAACACAGACCGTGGACTGGTCGTCGAAGACTCCACTCAGTATCCTAAGGAAACGACCCAGTGAAGCCACGTGGGCGTTGCAACCAGATAGCCTCGTGAAGGCTGCCCTGCAGGAAGGCGGTCCAAAAGTCGAGGGAGTGCAGCTTGTAGTCGTGCTGTGCTGCAACGTGCAGTAGCACTCGAAGAGTGGTCATCTTCGGGGTGGGGGAGAAGGTCTGGAAGAAGTCAACCCCCTCACGCTGACTGAGGCCTCGTGCAACGTAACGCGCCTTGAAGGCGGACGGAGAATTCGGTGGCCGCTTTACCATGAAAATCCTCATGCCACCGACTATGTTCGCCCCATGTGGGGGAACATCGTTGACGTAGGTGCTTGTGAACTTACAGAAAGCCATCTCTGTGTCCATGGTTATCTTCCACTGAGAGGAGTACGGACCCGAGTACGGCTGCGTAAGAGCTCGGGGTCGGGATGTCCAGTGCATCCGGGTCTCCCTCAGGGCAAAATAGCATGGACGCGAGATGAGGTGCAGCGGCCACTAAAGACTCCAGCTCAAACTGCCTGTCTGCAAGTATGTCACAGCCAACGGCAAGCTCACCCCCAACAGACGGATGACAGGAAGAGTAAAAAACAAGACTCGCAGCGTAGTCAAGGCGGCACAAAGCAGCAAAGTCAACAAGCTCAGCAACTAAGGCAAACGTAGCAATAGACTCAAAGGAAGGGTTAGTCACAACCGAGGCAAGGAGACGAGTGAAAGTCGGACTGGCAGTACGGACAAGGTTAGACCCATGACCAGGAGCGTAAAGAAGAGAAAACGCAGGAGGTAACTGCAGGACAACACGCTGTGGAATAGAGGAAGGACGAAGTGCCATCTGGTGACTGCCTAGCACAGTTGGAGCACGAGGACAGACAACACGACGAGCACGAACAGGTGTGGAAGCACGAGTCTTAGGCTCACGAGGCTCAGTCAAGGACTCAGTCATCTCAGTGTGAGGAGCAGGAGCAGGCAGTGGGGAGCTAGGCAGTAGCTGTGGTTGAGACTGGTCAGTCCGTGGGAACAGTAACAAAGGAGTAGTACTAGCAACCGGGAACTCAGTTGCAACAGGCGGGAGACTAAGAAGGTGACGAAGCACAGACGGCTGCGGCTAGGCAGTCACACCCTCAGATCCTCGAGCCCCAGTAGGAACAGCACCCCAAGAACCACCACCTCCAGCTCCACCACTGGGTCTGCCCCAACGGACAACCCATTCGCGAAGCTGCTGCAGAGAGAGCGACTTCTGACGACCAGCACCACCAACTCCAGTACCTCAAGTAGCACCAACTCTAGGAACAATAGCACTAGCACCTACAGGGCAAGCACCTCCAGTACCTCCAGCTCAAGCATGTCCAGCTTCGCCACCGGGGCTGCCCCACCGGACAGCTCACTCTCAAAGCCGCTCCGGTGAGAGAGGCTCCTGTTGACGTGAGCCAGGACTACCCGCAAAAGCACCCTCAGCAGCAGCATCCTCAGCAGCACCACCTCCAGTACCCCCAGTAGCAGTTGTGCCTCCAGCACCAGTACCTCCAGCATGGCCAACTCTAGGAACACCAGCTCTAGCACCTCGAGGGCTAGTACCTCCAGTACCTTCAGCTCCAGCACGTCCAGCGTCTCCAACCGCAGAACCTCCACCAGTAGCACCTCCAGCATCCCCTGCACACGTAGGAATCGCATCACCCCCAGAGCCAGCACCCTCAGAGTCCGCACCTCCAGTGTCACCACCTCTAGCAGCACCAGAGTCCACAGCGACAGGCCACAGAGGTAGTGAAGAAGGTCGAGGCGGTGAAGACGGTCGAGGCGGAAATCTAGGAAAAACCGCCAAGGGCGCGGAGCGGCGATGGGTCACGATGTCAGCAGCAGTCTTGTCACCCCCCTCGGCTGGGCCATAGGTGTCTGAGGAGACCTCCAAAGGCTCAACCAAGGGGGGTGGGTCTAACTGAGACACACCTGAGGGAGCGGGATAGAGGGGAGGGAGGGGGGCTACCGAGGGGGGGTCCCACCAGAGAGAGAGGCGAGAGGGGTACGGGGGAACTGCGGTGGGGGTGAAGACAGTAGAATCGGACGGACTCATCAAAGGTGACGTCGCGGGAGGACAGCACACGACGAGAGCCCGGGTGGTAAAACTGCCAAGGCGGTGCGTCAGTGGGAGAGCCAAGGAACACGTACCGAAGAGTGCGTGGAGAGAGCTTGCGTGCAGGCAAATCGTGGATAAGAGAGAGGGAACCCCAGTCTCGAAACGCCGACGCATCACCAACCTCGCCCGTTCATCGTAAAGTAGGGGAGGTCTCCAGGTGGGAGACACGGGGCTAGAGGTTGAGCTGCACAGCGGAGTATCGGACTGCAAACGACCACAGGAAATGGGGAGCAGTCGCATGGATCATGGAGGTGCAAGCAACCTCCATGACGAGACTAACGCGGCGCTCGGCAATCTCATTCTGCTGGGGAGAGGCCGGCGTGTATGACTGGACGATGCCCTCAGCACCACAGAAATCATCCAGGAGGCGGGAGCAAGACTCACCACCTCGGTCAGAGTGCAGCCGCAGGACCGGGAGGTTCTGACAGAACCGTGTGCTAAGCTGGAGATGGACAACGTATGTCCAGCGGATCAAGACACCGCGGACAACCGCCTTGCTCTGCAAGGGGGAGACCGTGGTGTAGCGCGTGTAGTCATCTACAACCAGCAGAAACTAGCGCTCGCCACCCTGTCCTGTGACGCGGGCGGGGCCCCACACGTTCATATGCAGGGTCTGAAGAGGAGCAGTGGTAGGAGGAAACAAAGAGGAGTGAGGAGCGGCACGCTGCCGGCCCTCGACGCAGGGAAGGCGGTGCGGTGCAAGCGACCTCGGAAGCGGGTGCATGGACCTGGGGAAACCAGACACAAGGAGACGGGAGTGCATCCCATGCAGGCGGGGCAAGGAGAGGTGGCCAAGACGATGGTGCCAGAGGATTGTTTGGTGCATGAGGAACAAGACGCAGCGACCAAGACGCAGCGAACAAGACACAGCGACCTCAACCAACGCAACTACCTGACCTGACTCAGCTACCAATGCAGACTCAATGGTCAGTGTGTATAGGCCAGACTCAGGCCTCCGAGTGAATATGGCGAGGTGCTCACCAGTGCGCGAGTCCGTACAGATCGCCACTATCTCGCCTCCAGGCTGGGTGACAGTGACCCACTGGTCTAGGAAGACAGAGGTAGCCACAAATGTTTTAGCGAACAAGGGGAGGTGGAGACCTGTGAGGAGGCCAGATGGGACCGCCGGACAAGGGAGAACAGTGGCGCCACGCGCGACTGCCGGGCCCCCGGAGGGGTCGGCCAGTGTGACAGAACATGGCTGTCAGCGGTGTGACTGTGGTGCTGACGCGGAAGAAGCAGCGAGATTTGTCTGAGTCTAGGGTAAAAGTGTGCAAGGCCTCCTTAGGCTCTGCCCCTGCGGTAGCTGAGTCACACACACCGAGACTAGTAGCCTCTACTCCACCAGGTGCCTCTACACCCCCAGTACAAGTACCCCGAAACCCTCTGCCACCGGGAGAGAGAGTCTCCAGAGGACGCTGCTGCTGCTGCTGTCCACCCCCGGAACCTCCGCGTCTACTATCGGCACTACCAGCATGATTAGACTCATAGGTACCTCCAGTAGTAGCACCCCACCAGACTGCCACTCACGACACTGCTGTGGCGAAAGCGGCTTCCGAGCACGGCTAGCTCCGCCACTGGGGTTGCCCCACCAGATAGCCCACTCGCGAATCTGCTGCGGCGAGAGAGTCTCCTGCACACTCGGCCGCCGCTGACGTATGACAGTGATAATGGCCATGGAAGGCAGTGTCAGACAGCAGCGGCGGCACAAGGTTTTAAGTAGCGACTGCAGTGGCGGTAGCTGGAACGATAGGTATAGTGGCATCAATGGTAGGAGCAGTAACGGCAGCAATTGTAGGAGCGTGCGCAGGTGTTAGCGGCAGTTGGCGGTACCCGCGGGGCAGGGAAGGAGCGCACAGGCAACGCGAGCACCTAGGGCAGGAGGGCGTGCAGGGCACGTTTGGCAGCAGGGCGCTCACGGTGCATTGGGCAGGGCAGAGTGAGGCGGGGGGGGTGGGGAGGGGGGGGGGGGGGTGTTAGGCGCGCGGGCAGGGCGGCGGGGCGCTGGGCAGGGCGGCGCGCAGGCGTGCAGGGCAGGGCAGCGCGCTGGCATGCGGGGCAGGGCAGCACAGCGGGGCGCTTGGCAGGGCAGTGCGCAGGCTGGCAGGGCAGTGCGCAGGCGTGCAGGGCAGGGCAGCGCGCTGGCGTGCGGGGCAGGGCAGCGCGCTGGCGTGCGGGGCAGGGCAGCGTGGCACGCCCCTGGCCAGGGCAACGCGCAGGCGAGTAGGGCAGGGCAGCGTGCTGGCGTGCGGGATAGGCCAGTGCAGCGGGGCGCTGGGCAGGGCAGCGTGCAGGCGAGCAAGGCAGGGCAGCGCGCTGGCGTGCGGGGCAAGGCAGTGCAGCGGGGCGCTGGGCAGGGCAGTGTGCAGTCTTGCAGGGCAGGGCAGCGCGCTGGCGTGCCGAGCAGGGCAGCGCGGCGGGGGTGCTGAGCAGGGTAGCGCGCAGGTGTGCAGGGCACGGCAGCGCGCTGGGGCACTGGGCAGGGCAGCGCGCAGGCGTGCAGGGCAGGGCAGCGCGCTGGTGTGCGGGGCAGGGCAGCGTGGCAGGCCCCTGACCAGGGCAACGTGCAGGCGAGTAGGGCAGGGCAGCGCGCTAGCGTGCGGGATAGGGCAGTGCAGCAGGGCGCTGGGCAGGGCAGGGCAACGCGCTGGCGTGTGGGGCAGGGCAGTGCAGCGGGGCGCTGGGCAGGGCAGCGCGCAGTCTTGCAGGGCAGGGCAGCGCGCTGGCGTGCCGAGCAGGGCAGCACGGCGGGGGTGCTGGGCAGGGCAGTGCGCAGGTGTGCAGGGCACGGCAGCACGCCGGGGCGCTGGGCAGGGCAGCGCGCACGCGTGCGGGCAGGGCAGCAAGGTAGGCCCCTGGCCAGGGCAGCGCGCAGGCGAGTAGGGGAGGGCAGCGCGCTGGCGTGCGAAACAGGGCAGAGCAGCGGGGCGCTGGGCAGGGCAGCGCGCAGGCTTGCAGGGCAGGGCAGCGCGCTGGCGTGCGGGGCAGGGCAGCGCGGCGGGGAGCTGGGCAGGGCAGTGCGCAGCTGTGCATGGCACGGTAGCGCGCTGGGGCGCTGGGCAGGGCAGCGCGCAGGCGTGCAGGGAAGGGCAACGCGCTGGCGTGCGGGGCAGGGCGGCACTGCGCAGAGAAGTGACGCGCAATGGGCAGCAAAAGAGAGGGGGGGGGGGGGAGGGGGGGGGGGGGAGGTGGGTGTGGAGGGGGGGGGGGGGGAGGACGACGGGCAGTAAGGGGCGCGCGTTACGGGCATTTTACGCACAGAAAATTTGGCGCGCACTAGGGGCGCGCCACGGGCAGCTAACGAGGCAGCGGTAACGATGGGCCCGGGAAGAAAATCAGGTCCTTAAACAGCGGTCCTCTAGGAACCTAGCCGCTCTTTACCATGTGAGGATCTAAGGAAGGGAATGAGTGGATTAGGTTGGGGAGGGGGGGTACAAGCAAAGTGTCGAGATTATTGTGTGTACCCTCTAAGGCTAGCCCCTATACAGCCTACACATATTTAGAGATAGACATATATGTTTTGACAACCTTGTGGCCCCTTGATTTTGTAGAGATGCTTGTCATGTCTTGTACTCTTGCAATTCTATATTTGCTATGTCCTTGTGCGTGAACTGGCCTTGTGGCCTCTTGCTTGTTCGAAGACTGTGTGGTGATCTTGAGATCTACACCGAGATTTGTACTATTCTTTTGAACTGGTCTTGTGACCATTGCTTGTTCTTGCTGACTAATCCTGTACCCTTGCTCTTAGCCTGTGTGTGCTTTCCACATAACTACAGTCACCTAGACTATGCTCAAATATTCCCCCAGGTGGGTTGTGCTAAATCCATATATGCTAAATGAATGAAGGTTTTGAGATTTTGCGTTGGAAACATAAAAATGTAGACCTCCGCTTTGCGGCTTCAATGGCAAAGAGAACGCAATGGGTCAATTGGCAAAAGTTTGGGAAACAAGCCACGAGACATAATATATGTGCCAACAAGCTGATGTCCGGTCAATTGGGTTACTACGTGGCGCATGCTAAAGCCAGCAGGTTTAGGAACGAGGTGTTGGAGTGGCGAGGATGTACACGTTTAGAGATTCTTTGTCAACAAGGTAGGGTTCAACATCTGGTTTAATATGAAGGAAATACATTAAAGGCCATTCCTACCAAGCCTCCCGCTTTAACATCTGGTCCCTCTACGAGGACCTTGTGAATTCCCCTCAAGTTCTCGATGAGGAACCCAGTGCACCGTGTGGCAGGGGTCTTAGGGGGTTTGGCCATAATACATTTAATTTTAATAATGAAAGGGCCTAAATTCCACCTCCCGTCTTAGAGCCTAGGCCATGACTGACCTACCTAGCATGGGGTTTCTGTTTAGAAGGGCGCACAGACCTTGTGTTTGTCGAGGCCACCTTGATGTCCCTTGGCACTGCTCCAATCATCCTATTCCTCCGGATCCTCCAATGCCACGTGCCCCGCCAGCGCCACCTGCGACACCTAAGCCTCCCTCACATCCTTTGGCGTCCGTATTTATGAAGCGCCTCCCTCACATCCTTTGGCGTTCGTACTTATGCACGGTCAGTGGAACTCTGCTTTTTTATGCTCCTCGCCATCCAACAATGCGTCTGAGCCGACAGAGACTGCCAAACACCATGGTGACCCGTGCCCAGAGCAAGTATGGCGTGATGACGACGGCTAGCACAAAACCTAGTGACGGGGATGATGAATGCGTGAAGTATTGGTTCAGTTGTGGTATTCCTAAATGCGTCCCGATTCCGTCATTCCACTCTCGAGCAAGGAAGTAGCGCAGAGCAATTTGCTTCGTTCTGTGCTCCAGTATGTGCTCCTGACACAAGGCCAACATGGCCCTGTTGTCGACGTACAGAACTGGAGGAGAACGAGGCGCCTCTCCCAAGTCGGTCAGCAGGTAGGTGAGCCAACGTAACTCCTGTGCAGCCATGGCCCCAGCGTAGATCTCAGCCTCACAACTAAAGCTGAGAACAAAAGACGAGCAGGTAGACTGCCACGAAACAGAGCCAGAACCAAGGCTGAAGGTGTAACCCTGTGACGACTGCTGCATAGCCAAGTCGTCAACCCAAGAAGCGTCTGCGTGACCAGTGAGGACAACTCGAGCCCGTCCTCCAAGCACGAGCCCCATGCCCAATGTACTGCACAGGTAGCGCAACACCCTCTTAGCTGCATCCATGTGCTCTGGTCGGTGTCTCCCAGGAGCAACATAGCGTGCCAAGATGCTAAGATGGTATGCCAGGTCGGGTCGAGTGCAGGTTATCAGGTACATGAGGCAGCCAACAAGCTCTGGGTACAGGCCACTCACCTCTACAGACTCATCTGAAGGCAGAGCTGAGAGCGAGTGGCGAGTGAACAGAGGCGTGGCCTGAGGCGAGGAGTACGTGAAGTTGAAGCGCTGAAGGACCAGCTGCACCATGTGTGACTGAGTCAAGGTAATGGTGCGCCGTGCTCTGTCCCGGGTAATCTGCAAGCCAAGATAGCTGCGTAGCTCACCCAGGTCTGTGCACGTGTGTCTCTTCTGCAGCTCCGACTTCACGTGGGCGAGTCCAGCAGTGTCAGCAGTAGCAAAAACCAAGTCGTCGACGTACACGATGATGTAGAACGACATTAGAGTAGTGTCACTGCGGAGAAACAGCAGTGGAAGGAGCAAACCTAAGAGCCGCAAGCGTAGTCCTCAGTGTGTCGTGCCACTCACAGGGGGCCTGGCAGAGACCGTAGACTGGCCGCCGTAGGCTCCACTGGGTACCAGGAGGAAACGACCTAGTGAAGCCAGGTGGGCGGCGCAGCCAGATCTCCTCGTGCAGGCTGCCCTGTAGGAAAGCAGTGCTGAAGTCAAGAGAGTGAAGCTCATAGTCACGCTGAGCAGCGACGTGCAGCAGAACCCGAAGAGTGGTCATCTTTGGGGTCGGGTAGAAGGTCTGGAAAAATTCAACTCCCTGTCACTCACCGAAGCCTCAAGCAACGTAACGCGCCTTGAAGACAGGCGGAGAACCCGGCGGCCGCTTCACCATGAAAAACCACATGCCACTAACGATGTTCGCCCAAGGAGGGGGAACCTAATCAACGTAGGTGCCTGTGGACTTCCAGGATGCCATCTCTTCGTCCGTGGCTGACTGCCACTGAGAGGAGTAGGGACCCTCTATCGCCTCTGCGTAAGAGCACGGGGTCGGGATGTCTGGTGCATCCGGGTCTCCCTCAAGTGCAATCAACACGGACATGAGATGAGGTACAACAGTTGCAAAGCACTCAAAGTCCTCCTGCCTGTCCTCAAGGACGTCCGTGCTAAGAGCACACTCACCCCCGACGGACGGAGGAGAGACAGACTCAGGCTCAGCAACAAGGCTAGCGGCGTAGTCTAAACGACAGTGAGCAGCGAAGTCGACAAGCTCAGCAACTAAGGCTTACGCAGCAGTGGACTCAAATGAAGGGTCAGTGACAACAGTGGCCAGGAGACGCGTGACAGTAGGACTAGCAGCACGGAGGGAGTCAGACTCCGGGTCAGCAAGGGCAGGAAGAGAGGACGCAGGAGGAGACAGCAGAGGGACACGCTGCGGAGCACAGGACGGACGCAGAGCCATCTGGTGCGTGCCATGGAAAGGAGGAGGACGCTGCCACAAACCACGACGACCAGTGCGAGCTGCACGAACAGGCGACGCAGGACGAGACTCAGGCTCATGACGCTCTGTAAGACCTCCGGTCGGACCAGTGGAAGGAGAAGGAGCAGGCAATGAGGAGGCGGGCTGTAACTGTGACTGCGACTAGACAGGCAGTGGACACTCTAAGAAAGGAGTAGGACCAGTAGAAGGCGGGAGAATGAGGGGAGGTGGAGGCCAGACAGAGAGCTAGATGGGACCGCCGGACACGGCAGAACCGTGGAGGAGTGTGCAAGGACCGGACCTCCAGAGGGGTCAGCCAGAGAGACTGCCAATGGCCAACTGAGCGGCGAGAGTGTGGTGTAGTCGCGAAAGAAGGAGCGGGAAGCACCCGAGTCAAGAGTGAAAGTGTGCAAGGCCGCAGCAGGTGCAGTACCAGAGATAGTACAATCACCAGCACCTGGAGCAGTGGACTCACTAGCGCCTAGAGCATCAGCCTCACCAGCACCTAGAGCAGCAGACTCTATACCCGGGTCAGGCGGTACACACAGGTAACAGGCACCCTCAGCACTAGAAGGCAATGCATACATGGCAGTGAGGATAGCATCATAGTCAAGAGCAAAGATATCTACCCTCTGCCTAAGCAGCTCCAGCCAGGAGGGGAGCTCAGCGTCGTCGCCAAACTCTGTATGCCCGGCGTCGCTCGGAGAGAAGAAGCAGCGGGACTCTGTGTGACCAACCGTCCCGCAAGGCTGACCAGCCCGAGCACCAGTGCAAACAACGTATGGGCAGCGAGCAGTACTCCGTGACCCTCTACTCTGAGCGTACCACTCACGAAGCTGCTGGGGCAAAAGGGTCGCGTGCGGACGCCGCTGCAGCTGCACCTGGTCACTTCAAGAAGCTCTCGAACGACCCGCTCCACGGCGACTCCCACCACTGCCACCCCTACAATCCTAACTGGCGTACCACTCACGAAGCTGCTGGGGCGAAAGGGTCGCGCGCGGGCGCCGCTAGAGCTGCACCTGGCCACTATTAGAAGCTCTCAAACGACCCGGTCCTGGACGACTCCCACCACGGCCACCCCGACAACCCCAATTAGCGTACCACTCATGAATTTGCTGGGGCGTGAGGGACTTACGCGAACGTCGTTGGAGCTGCATTTGGCCACCGCCAGTTGCAGCAGTAGCAGTAGTAGCAGTAGTAGCAGTAGGAACAGCAGCAGCAGCAGTAGCAGTGCGGGCAGGGCAGTGCGGCTCAGTAGAGCAGGGCTGCACAGCTCGGCAGCACGACGCGGCTTGGCGGGGCGGCTCGGCGCGGCGGAGCAGCGCGGCTCAGCTGGGCGGCGCGGCTCGGCTGGCAAGCAGGCGCGGCAGGCAGGCCGGCGCGGCAGCGCGCTAGTAAGGTAGGCGCGCGGGAAGCGCGGGTAGCGCAGGTGCTCACCAGTGGCAGGAAGGGCCGACGGCGGCGACGGCGGGGCCGTGACAGCTGCAGGGCGGGGCCGCGACAGCGGCATTGCGAGGCCGTGACGGCGGCAGGGGACTCCGCGGCAGCTGCTGCAGGGCGGGGCCGCGACTGCGGCAGGAGGGGGGGAGGAGGGGGGGGGGGGGGGAGGGGGGGCTCCGCGGCA